TGGATGCATGGATGCATGGATGCATGGATGCATGGATGCATGAATGCATGCATGCATGCATGCATGGACAGTCCTCAATTTTACCTGGCGGCTTGTTACCACAGTACATGCCCAGCGATGGCGAGTTTTCTCCCTGTCCATCTTTAATTTTAACATAATCTAGTCTACAATTGCTGTGAATATCAAACTGATCCAGCCAGACATGTAGTTGTTTACCCTGGTCACCTTGGATAACCCATGTACAGTCCACGCCGTCTTGATACGCGGCAGAGAGATCTTGGCTTGACAGAGATCCATGACCCTTGTTTACCATTCCACCGCATCCTGAACAAGAGTTTCAGATAAATATTTATACATCTACGTTATAGATTGGATACGACTGGAATAGATTAAATGTGTCGACTGACACGAATTACATGTGACTGGAATGGATTGGACGTGACTGGAATGGATTGGATGTGACTGGGATGGATTGGATGTGACTGGGATGGATTGGATGTGACTGGAATGGATTGGAGGTGACTAAGATGGATTGGATGGGACGGGAATGGACATCTATACAGTGTCCGGGTAAAACTATGAACACACCTTTACCGAAATAGCGACCACAAAACAAAGGTTCCAAGTCGAGATTGAGCTTGATTAAATGAAGCAAATTTATTTTCACGTTGGAACTTACTGCTTTTTTCATAAACATGCGAACTCTGTACCTGCGAGCTGCACGCTGAAATTTGGTTTTTCGCTAGTCAAAAAATATAAAAGGTACCGACTGATTAGTTTTGATTGACGGCAACCAAAAACCAAATTTCAGCGTGTTGCTTGCAGCTAGCAATTTGGCATTTGAAAAATAGCAGTAAAACTCTTCAATCAAATTCAAGAAAGGTGTACTAAATTTTTGGCACTAAATCAGATACACTTACTGGGAACCCGTGCTGCCAAGGTGATTGGATCTGGCTTCGCTATCCACGTGATATCAAATCCTTTATGATTGGTTCGATCGTCACTCTTAAATTTTATCCATAATTCGTTACCACTTGATTGTAAGGTTGTTGGTAACCTTGTTCCACAAAACTTCCCCAGAAGAGGATACTTTTCTGTGTGGCCGTCACGAATGATGACGTAATCGTAGCGACATGCTGGACCTGGTACCAAATAAGGAAAATATTATTGCTGATGGTGGTGATAATGATAATAATAATAATGGTGAAGATGATGATGGTGATGAAGATGATGGTGATGTTACTGATGATGGTGATGAAGATGATGGTGATGTTACTGATGATGGTGGTGAAGATGATGCATGCTGATGTTACTGTTGATGATGATTATGTGATGATCATAAGCATTGTCTCCTACCTTCAATATCTAAGTAGATAAAACGTAATGAGATGATATTGCCTTGGGGTACTTCGATAACCCATTCACAGACGCTGTTGTCAGGGTAATTACTTGGGTAATCAGGCGAAGTGATTCGTCCACCATCTGCGACCCGTCTGCCACCACATGCTGAAGAGAAAGATAGAGAGTTACAATAATGACGCGAACATTAATGATATGATAATGGTAGTGATGATGATGGTGATGATAATGATGGTGGTGGTGGTGGTGGTGGTATTGATGATAATGATTGTGGTGGTATTAATGATGATGATAATGGTAATGATTATGGTAATTAATGATGAAATGACCATACGGTGATAACCACGATGATGATGATAATGATTAAAGTGACGATGATGATGATGAAAATGATTAAAGTGATGAAGATGGTGACGATGATGATGATGATAGTGAGGATGATGATGATGATGATGATGATGGTTGTGATGATCTTGATCATTACAATAATGATGTCAATAATTATGAAAGTGGCAATGGGCTGTTGATAACAAGGAATGAACAAACCAAATAGAAATCGAGGTAAAACAATAATGTACTCACCCATTGGACACCTTTCAACGTTACATGCCCTTTCATCCACATTTCTTCCCAGACAATTACGTCCTCCATTCAGAGGTCTTGGGTTATTACAGAAGCGGCTTCTTCTTTGAACCCCACCGCCACAAGTTTGGCTGCAAGAGGACCATGTTGACCATAATGACCAACGACCGTGTACGGGACGTGCTACGGGAATTGAGGGTCCGGGACCTGGAAGATATTGAACGATAGACCTTTTTTCGTATTCTTGGGGTGYATATTACGTCATAGCCGCCATGTTGGTTGACAATACGAAGCATTCCTCATTAAAGTGCAAATGAACCCTTCGACAATACTTGTAGTACTGATTCTACACGAAGTAAATAGTTGAATGGTAAAATATTTCTTGATTTGAGTGATGAATCTCTAAGATGGCGGCTGTTTCATTGTTTTTTATATCTCAAGGGGTTTTTCGGTCACGTGGTTGCACTCCAAAAATTCGACAAATGCCGCTGTGTTCCTTGATTACAGGCTTATTTACTCAGGGTTAGCTTCGTAACAGTGTCAAAATATTCACAAATAACAACGGTAAAGTAAAGAATGAGCAACATCAACAATACTGAAGACACTTTGAAACTTGATAAAGACCTTCACTGGAACACGTGGATATTCTACACAAAATCGACACTAACTCTGAGCAACAGAAAACTCGGAGCTGGAGTATTAAGGTCGAACACTTGTATGCGAGCTGAATAAATACATGGAACTGAGAACATGAAAATTAGGTCTTTGAAAATGAGGAAGAAAACAGAAAAACAAGAGGCATACGTCCCTCCTTCTACGAACAATGATCCAATACTAAAAAAATGTCTGTCTCCCTAAAAAGACTTGATAAAAATCACTAACCTCCAACGCCATAGGTTCGTTCAGCGCAGAGGTACGTCTTGTCCCATCCATCCCGTCCTCCCTTAGCATACCACTGCATGCAGTCTAGACCAGCTATGGGGCCAGAAAACGAGAAACGAAACCTGAAAATGATAACAAAAATTTAAACTAGGAATRGTGTATGTGCAACCATTTGACTCAAAATCCCTTGAGATATGAATAACAATGAAACAGCCGCCATCTTGGTTGATCTAACAAGAGAAGCTAATGAGGAATGCTTTGTTATTGTCAATCAAGATGGCGGAAATGACGTAACATGCACATGCTCTATAGGTCGCTTTAGCTTGAGCGTAATGTTTTCCCATTTCAGACCTCGTGTCATTCCCTAGAGCATCATTTCTTTGTTTAACGGTTGCGCATGAATATGGATACAACTCAAAAAAAATATTATTTTCAATAGAATGACACGAGGTCTGAACTATGGGAAAACATTACGCTCAAGGTAAGAGGTCTATTGCGTTTTTCAAGAAAGGAGAATCATCCAATCACGATACAGGAGCATACAACACGTGATTACTATATATTCAATCAGAAAARCAAATCACTGCAACAGTCATTCAAATAACTTCACATTCAATCAGGACGCAAGGAAATAGACCACGTGATCAAATCGCAATATGTTATAGATCCCTTGCAGCACGTCGGAATGCAGCTCAATTTGAAGGACATAACAATAGGTTTCCAATTCACACGAGATTCAAATTCCTTTGTTTTGCCCTCCATATTCAGTTGCTTCGACGTCACATGCAAGGGGTCTATAGCCATGACAGATAAAATGCAACCTAATTCTAAAGATTACTTCATCAGAGACGTCACTGTTGTCATGGTTACTCACCTATAAGGCGCGTCATTCTTAGTCATACATAAATAATTATCATCCCAAGTTCCTTTGCGCTTTGTAACTTCATTGCGGACGTAAATGCGCGTGCAGATTTGGTCTGGTATTCTCCCCTTGTCAGACCACTGGAACTGCAAGTCTCGCTTATTGTTTGGAGTGCAGAATAGGTAGTTGTTCCAGGTTAAGTAATCCAAGCGCTCGTAGGTTCTGATGCACAGTTCGTTTGGTGGGGGAAACTTGAAACGACCAAAGCTGAAATCTGACGGAAAGGCTGGCCAGTCTGTACAAAAAAAAAAACGAAAAATAATAAAAGGCTCCTCTCTTGATTCGAGCGTTTTTCTGGGAGTTCTTCAGTTTATCACTCCACAAAACCTAACCGACGCTACATTCTATCAGTGATTGGCCGTCGTACCCTGACTTAGATCAGAAAAGAAGTTGTTCAGGGTTCTATCTGTGAGTTAGCCATGCCCTGACTTAGATCAGAAAAGAAGTTGTTCAGGGTTCTATCTGTGAGTTAGCCATGCCCTGACTTAGATCAGCCCAGAGGTTGTTTCAGGGTTCAATCTGTGAGTTAGCCGTGCCCTGACTTAGATCAGCCAGGAGGTTATTTCAGGGTGTCTAATCATCCCTATTGCTCAAATTTCTCAGTATATCATATATCATTAGTAACAGTCACCCCCTTTTCCTCACATTCCTGGTAAATCCTTTGTAATAGTCAACCCCCTTCTAAAATTCCTGGATCAGCCCCTGCATTTGGATCAAATAATGAGATTCAAATACTTGAATATCATGCGGCTGATCAAAAGTCAGGGATTCCCTCTTACCTTCACATTGTCGTAAATTACACCTTCCTGTCTCAAGGGACTGTCCAGTACAGAACCTGCCTCCGAAGGACGGTGGTGGACTGGTGCATGATCGTGTTCTTCTCCGTATTCCACCTCCACATTGGCGACTGCACTGGGACCAAGGTGCCCACTCTGTCCACTGCCCATCTGAAATAGGGATTCACAAGTTCTACTTAGGGATTGGTCATTATTTATAG